TACAAGACTTATTGAGGTATCACCCCCCCTGATAATTTCTCATGCGTATGTCACATTCTATTTTGAACTAGTCGAAGCTGACGAACAGAAATAAGGAGGGTGGGGGAGGAAAGGAAAAAGAAGGGGAGAAAGAGCCCTGTTTTTTTAGAGGGAAGGAAAACCCCCATCATCATCATCATCACCCCCCCCCCATCATCATCATCATCATCATCATCATCATCAATGAACACCCTTCATGCCACACAGCAACAGGCCCTCCCCCCACACACACACCCGCCGCACACACACACACACACACACACACACACACAACACACAACACACAACACCCCACCACACACACACAACACCACTGGCATGTTTGCACCTGTAGCCTCCAGGGCAGGTGGTTACACAGGCCAAGCACATGTCCCTCTTGCCGGACCAGCCAGCCTTGGACGACTCGGTGGGCGGGAAGTTGACGCTGGCCAGCAGTCTGCTCGGGCCACCACGGCCACCACGGCCACCACGGCCATCACGTCCTCCACGTCCACCACTGTGGACGATGTACATGGGTCTGGTCATGGCCCGTGGAAGGGCTTCATTAATCGTCCTGCTCCCAAACCATCTGTGTCAGGTAGGGTGACATGGCGGCTGACAGAGGACGACGCAAGAGCCATTGCAAGGGCAGAGGCTGTCGCCTTACATATCCCGGGCACGGCCAGCAATTCCAAGATCAAGATGGACAAACACGTGCGAGAGACGAACGCGCGAGAGGCGCACGCGCGAGTCACCCACGCGCGAGTCACCCATGCGCTGGACAAGCCTTTCGCAGACTTGACATCATCTCGCTTGTCGCTGCAAGGATCGTCGGTCACCGCCAGCAGTCATCAGCATGCTAGTGGCCGCACTCATCATGCGCATCCGCACCCGCCAAGACCTCGGCCACATCGGCCATCATCGGCTGCACAGTCAGACTCGACGCTGTTGTCGTCGGCTGTGGAGGAGGGGAGAGAGACCGTCGTCCCGCACTTGGCTGCCGCCGCAAAGCGGAGATCCCGGGCTCTCAATTCGCTGCTCAAGAAAGGCCGGATCAGGAGGCCGCGAACAGCCTCAAAAGGAGATGGCTCAGGTCCGGCTTTGGTCGTGCCGCGCCCGCCGTCGGCCCCACAGGCTTCGAACGACGACTGGCGACGTCCGCGCGGCCGCGGTAGAAAGGCCCGCGCAAAGTTTGCCACCTCGGCTGGCGATGCCATGTCGTCACACATGCACGAGCGCGCCATGGAGCGCATGTTGTGGGGACCGGACGGCCCGCCTGACGTGCTCCGGGCTCCGCAGGAGAAAGAGCCGGCCGCCGCCGCTCCAGCCTCTGGTCGGCAGCCCCTCCCGTCTGCCCAGCCGCTGCGCTCGGCGCTCAAGACCAGACCACTCGCCGACCAGCTGGTCTCAGCGTCGTCGACTGCGGCCGGCACCGACGTCAGTGCCACCCAGCTTCTGCCAACCGTCTCTGTCTTGCACATTGACGACTCATCCGAGACGTTGGAATCGGCCTCAGCCTCGGGCTCAGCCTCAGACTCGAGCTCGGGCTCAGACTCGGGCTCAGCCGCCTCCATGCGCACCGCATGTACCGTCATGTCTGTAGCTTCCCTCACCTCTGGCTCGGGATCAGACTCGGGCGACAACGCTGGCTCGGGTCACCAGCAGCGCGGGCACGTGTCGTTCATGCCAGCATCGACAGTGCTGCACCTCCACGAGCTTACACCGCCTGGAACCAGCCCCGAGGCGCGCGTCTCGCAGGCGACGGTTGACCACGCCCACGACCATTTCGAGAGTGTGAGAGAGGTCCGCCGGCAGCAGACGTGGCGGCAGGGCGAGGTCGAAAACATCCGTGACTTGCAGCAGCGCATCGAGCGCGGCGTCTCGTGCCTCCGCGACGACCTACTCAACCCGCACATCCACGGAGCCCGGGACACACCCGCCGCCTTTGCCAGCATGTACCAGCAGCCGCTCCCGCTGCCGCCATCCAACGTTCGCGGCGCCTCGCTGCAGGTGGTTCATGGCACCGAACGCGAGGTCCACGTCTATCCGCTCCCGCCCAACGTCTGGTCCACCTCTGCGCCGCTCCCGCCCGTCCGCATCATCACCGGAGTTGTCCCAGCCCGCCTCCGCAAGCAGCGCGACGAGCGCAATCGTGTGGCCATGGGCCTCGCCGCGCGCAAGCGCTCGGGCGCCACGACGTCGCCGCGCTCGCCAAACGTGCCGGGCGCTGTCTCGCGCCATCCGACCACCGCCAGAGTGCCGCCGACCGCAGACCCGTGCACCGCAGACACTGATGACGTCGTCGCCGGCATGGAGCACCTGACACAAGCCGAGCGTGCCCAGTTCACTGCACTCCTCGCCCGTGTCGACGACATCAACTGCGCCGTCCGCTGCGATGCCATCCTCACCCTCGCCCGCGCCAACTTTGACTCGCCACTCCTCGCTCAGGCTCTTGAGCGCCACCTTGCCGACTACGACCTCAATGTGCAGTTCCAAGCCGCACTGGCGCTGTTCGAGCGGAACCCGCGCCACAGCGCAGCCCGCGACAAGCTCCTCACCTTTCTCACCATGCACCACCCGCCCGAGACCCGCCTCGCCGCCATCCGCGGCCTCTCGCGCGCCGAGCCTGACTCGGGCGCCTTCTGGGAGTCGCTTGTCCGCTACGTGGCTCGCGAAGAGGATGATGCCGTCCGCTTCGACGCCGCCCTCCACCTCGCTCACAATATCAACAGAGGCCATCTCGATGCTCGCCTCGTCATTGTCCTCGAAGAAAATCTCGGCGAGGCTGACCCGGCCATTGTCTTCCGCGCTGCGCAGGGCCTCACCAAGCTCAACGCCCGCCACGACCAGGTCGCCAACGCCATGCTCCTCCTGCTCAATGGCTCGTTGTGGTCGACCCGTGTCAAGGTCATCACCAACCTCCGCATCCTCTTCCCCTCGCTCTCGGCCCGCTACCGCGAGCTCGTCACCGAGCGCCTCATCGGCTTGCTCTGGCGCGACCCATCGCTGGCCGTCAAGGAGCACGCTGCGCTCGCACTCGTTGCCATCTCCCAGGAGCGCAGGGCATTTGACATGCTCCGCGACTCTCTCACCGACCGCAGCGCCCACGTCCGCCGCGCCGCCCTCCACTGCCTGCAAATCCTCGGCGTCCGCGGCGAGATCATGTCGCGCATCATCCTCGATGCCCTCGAGGACGACGACTCGGAGGTTCGTGGCGAGGCCGCCCGGGTTGCAGCCACCCTCGCCACTCCCAGCGAGTACCGCATCGTCCGCAAGCTCCGCCGCCGCCTCGCAGACCCCAACATCGGCGTCCGCGCTCACGCCGAGCACGCCCTCATCGCCCTCGGCGTCGACTACGTCTCGCCAGCAGAGGTCTCCAAGGCCCTCTACACCACTTCGCCCGAAAAATAGCGCCACGCTTTTAATCAAACTTCTTCTCCAGCACAACCATCCCGCCAGTGTTGTCAAACTTGCTGTCGACGTAGTAGACCTTCCGCGCCTTGGCGCCCGGCCCGCGCCCGATCGTCAGCGCCGGCGTGAACGCCTCCTTGACGCTCGCCCGGTGCGCGTCGGGGTAGAACGACGAGATGTAGCTAAACTCGGTCTCGCTTCGCTCAAAGGCAGTGATGTAGACCGTCCGGAGTAGTGCAGTTGTCACCTCGGCGCTCGTCGCATACACTGCCGCGTACAGTTCGAGCCCGTTGTGGCGCGGCGAGTCAGCAATGTGCACAAAGCCGCGAAGCGCTCCAGTCGCCCGATCGCGCGCAGCCGCAAAGACGTGCGGCTCCATCGCCGATGCCACTCCGTTCGGCATCGCAAGCGCCTCCAGCGTCGCCGTGCACCCGGTCAGTGGCACCCAGTCCGAGACAAGGATCGATGCGTCGCTGCGGATGGCTGCTAGCTCCGAGCTCTCGGCCGCAGCGCCGTCGTACAGCTCAGCGCCGAGCGCCGGAGCCTCGATCCACTCCACCTCAAACTCAGAACTTGCTTCTGGCAGCGCGTCTGCTACCCACGCATCACTGCCGCCAGGAAGGACCAAAAACGCACGTTGGCGAACAATGGCGTAGCCGCGGCGCTCATGCATGGCCACCGACTTTGATCGTGGCAGCGTGGTGATCCGCAGCAACTGCGGCGAAGCGTCCAGACCAAAGCACGCCGGATCAGTACGCACGGCATCCACATGCGCCAGACATGCAGCCGTCAGTGCCGACGCAATGCCCTTGCCCTGCTGATCAGGCCTCGTCCGGAGAGCCTGAAACAAGAGAGACGGCGCCGTAGCCGGAAACGGAAGAACGACGACCGAGTCGAGGCCAACCACCTCCTCATCCTCGCCCTTCTTGATGACCGCCACAAACACCTTTCGTAGCCCATCCGCCAAGTACCGATCCAGGGTCAGCGGCAAATAATCATGTCCACCGTAGATGAGTTCGCCTGAGATGGCCAAAATGCCGTCGCGGTCGGCCTCATTGGCCTCGCGAATAGCAAACTCCCCGCCGCACCCGCCCTTGCTCTCGCCAGCTCCCACACCAGCATCCGTCATCGTCCGTCCGTCACAAGCTCCACGAAGCCCCCACAACCACCGCTTTGTCCACTTCGAGACAGCTGTTGACCGCCAGCCACCACCGCCAGCCCAGCACCAATCGGGAGCAGCTACACGACTCCGTGTCCGCCAATGACATCACGCGCGCGTTTGCCACAGCGATGCGCCCGCCTGCACGACGCTCAAGCGATACCAGCCAAGCCAAGCGATGAGCACATGCACATGGATGTGATCTGATCGGCCTGCACAACGGATGTCTCGAACTGTCGTGCCTCCTTATCTCCCGCTGAGCGTGGGGTTTGGAGCCGCTCGGCGCTGAGACTGGGCCTCTCCCTGCGGAGGTCAGACAAACTGACCGGATCAAAGCTAGCAAGTACGATCATGACGTTTCCAGGCTGAGAGCAGGCGATGGTAGTGGTGGCCGATCGGTGGTTGACGCCTTGCCGTCGTCGCGGCTCAGCCCGCCGTGGCTCTCAGCCCGCCGAGGCTGACGATGCTTTGTGAATTGAGTTCCCAAGTCTCACACACGACAGATCTCCTTGTTCTCAGATACAACAATTGTGTGTGGCACGCACAGTACATTGGCGCCCACCGGTCGGCCATCGCCAATTGCTGTCATGCGCCACAGCTCCCGCATCCGCGCCAGCTGGTGCCATCTCTGGTAAACTCATGCGCCCGAGTCGGCAAATGACGCGACAAACGAGCGCAGGCTGAGGTGCTGTTGAACACGCCACCGAGGCAGCTGCAGCCAGTCCGAGTCCGAGTCTGAGTCCAAGCCACCTCTCCCGTAAGCCACCACTTCCAGGCTACTCGCACCCAAAGCGCTTTCTCCAAGCCCTCTACTACTCCTCCTCCCGCCAGTGCTTCTTCCCACATTCCCTACATCATGCCGCGCGAAGGACCGCCCGACGCCGCCGCCAAGCCGTCGCCGTTCACCACCACCTCGCTGGAGCATGTGCTCGAGGTTGACCCGTCGACCATTGAGGTCACCCGCAAGGCAGAAGAGGGCATTGTATACAAGATGGTATGTGTCTGCATGCCCACGCCCTCCCCCCTTCCACCCACTCTATGTACCCCCACGCCACCCCGCTTGATCGCCGCTTGATCGCCGCTTGATCGCCGCTTGGTCGATCATGCACCGGATCCAGCTAAAGGGCGTGAAGCAGCCGCGCCGTCGTTCCATCCCTGCATAACGCAAGGCGCAACGAGGGGGATGGATACAGCGGTTGTGACGATACTCACCATGTGTATGATGATGTGCCCCTCTTCCTCCTCTGCTTGTATGACGGCTTTCGCTCTCTTAGCGTCAGGATGCCCGTTCCGAGTGCCATGAGCTCATTGGCGCCTTTGCCGAGTGTGCCAAGGGTCGCATGGTCTCCTTCCTCTGGGCTTGCCAGACACAGAAGAAGGCCATGAATCGGTGTCTCAAGGAGTTGTACGCTACGTCACATCCCTCTCTCCCCCTCTCCGCCCCCCCCCCCCCCTCCGCTCTCCCCTCCGTCCATGCTCAGACATCCCCACTCATCACATCGATCATTCCCCTCTCTCCTTCCTCTCATCAGTATCAACGAGGCTGAGCTTGCCAAGCGCAAGCAAGCCTTTGTCGAGGATCAGCTCGACAAGTACCGCGCCGTCCTCGCACAGCGTCAGTCGGACGGTCAGAGCGCTGGGGAGGCTGGTCCGAGTAGCTGATGGCGCATCCGTCGCGATCTCCTGACTCGCTGTACATGGTCTGCCAGGTATTGGCGCAGCGGGAGATCAGTCTGATCGGCATGCCCCCCTCTCCCCCCCCCCCCCCCCCCCCCTCCCCTCTCCCTCCCTCTTTCCTCCTCGTCCGCACCTCGCCTGAATACGCCACGCTCGCTCGCCGCGCCCGTTCGCCGCGCCCTGGCTACTGCAGACAGGGTGCGGGTAGGTGTACGGGTAGATGGTGAGGCAAAGAGCGGAGATGGCGAGGGAGAGAGAGCCATCCTGCCATTCCGCCATCCGCCACCCGCCATCCATCGCTTGGCGGGTTCGGCACGTCTCGGGTCACGGTCGAAGCAGCCGAGCACAATGGTATGAACTCTACCCACGGTAAAGTAGGCGATTGCTACACCCAGAGAGCTTTTAGATGGCTCAACGCTTTGTTGCAAGGCGAGCGCGGGGCGCTGCAGCTGTAGGCGGGTGCTATCTCCTTGTTATCGTACGGACAGCGTACTCGGCCGTGAAACCTGCGCGCCGCCACTCGATGATGGCGTGCGCGACGGTCATGGTGCAATCGCTGATATATAGCCACTTGCTATGGCCGGCCGGGAAGTGTGATGGGCTGAACCTCGATTAGCACCATGTCCTGTATGCGACGACGTGCAGCCACCTGATCGCCTGCCTGATCGCGCGCCTTCTGCACAGCGCTTGTCGCCTCGTCTCCATTGCCAGCCTTTCTTACTCAAAGCCCAGATCCAGACTGAGGACACTGCACTTCTGTAAGGCGGAAGGAGGTAGAGAGCCGGCTGGGCATAGGCATGCGTGGGTGGCAGGTCCACGTGGCATACATGCTTGTTCTCCTGGCGGCCAACTGCGTGTGGTACTTTGCGGGCTATGCCTCACTCACAGAGTGTCGGCCATCAACCGGTAGTGATGGAGGGCTGATGATGCGGGCACTGGTGGGCAATGGAGGAAAAAATGCGAGGAATTTTCAGCCCGGGCCATGGATGGTCCCGCCGTCACATGCAGAAGCGAATGGTGTGCTGAAAAGGGTTCTCGTCCCGGCTGATGCCCTGCCCAAGACCACGGGCGTGTCGATGGCGGTCATTGCCAGCGGCGGCTTGGTGCCGGATCACGTCCACGAGTCCAAGATGGAGGTCTTTGTTGTTGTCGCTGCCGACGAGGCCAGCTTACTGAGCGTCCGTGGCAGCGATGGCGGAGAGGTACAACTGGATGTCGGCGATGCGGTCGTCTTCTATCCTGGCGTCCAGCACGGCCTGCGCAACATCGGGCCCGGCGATGTAACGGTCATGTACTTTGGGCTGGTGTAGGCTGTGGTCAGAATGACGACGCCGGCAAGATCCCGATGGGGATGCGGATGGGCGGGCACTCAAGAAAGACATCATCGCCATCGTCACCTTCGTCGCAGTCGTCGTCGCTGGCTGGTGCGTCGCCGGCTGACGCAGGGAGAAGCATGCCAGAGTCGTCGGCGCTGATTGCACCCAGCGGGCCAAGCTCGATGTCGTCAAAGAGACCAGCCGACGCTGCACGCGGGATGCGCGAGGCTGACCGCTCAAACACGTCTCGAGCGTGTGGCGGCGATGCCGAGGACGCCAGTGCCAGCCGCTCCAGCCGGGAAGCAAGGTCGTCCAGCCGCTTCGGATCGCGGGTCCGGCGCATTTCGTCGAGCAGCTGCGTACGGACACGCTGTGCCTCAGGCGATGGGGTGCGGTGTAGGATCGAACCGGAAGACGGAAGCGGATTTGGACGCAGGGGCAGCGAGTCGAGGATGGAGTGGCGCGGCGGAAAGATCGAGTTGCTGCGGTGTGCCGCCAGAGGCGGCGATGACGGCGACAAGGAGGCGGCAAGGGCGATCGGCGGACCGACCGACGAGAACCGCATGTCTGGCGTCAGCGAGAGGTCGAGGCTCAACGCGAGTGACGACGGCGCTGAACCTGGGGTCAGCGGCTGGCGAGGCGGGAACGCCGACGGTGTGGCCGAGAGCGCAGCAGCCGCTGGCTTGGTAAACACCCGGGCCCGGCTTGGCTTCCCGGCGATCTCAGTGGTCGGTCGGGGAGACTGTGCGGACGGCAGCAGTGGTGGCGGGGAAGGCGTGGTAGTCAATGGTGTGGATGGTGAGGGTGTGGGTGAGGGCGAGGGCGGGGAGTCAATCTCAATCGCGACCTCGGGTTCAGAATGGGCTGAGGACGAGGCCGAGGCTTCAAACTCGGTTTCGGTCCCGGTCTTAGGCTCGGACTTGAGCTCAGTCTCGGCCTCGGTCTCGGCCTCGGCCTCGGTCTCAGGCTTGGTCTCGGGCTCGGGCTCAGACTCGGGCTCGATCTCGGTCTCGGTCTCAGACTCGGTCTCGGTCTCGGTCTCAGTCTCGGGCTCGGGCTCAGACTCGGGCTCGATCTCGGTCTCAGTCTCGGTGTCAGGCTCAGTCTCGGGCTCAGGCTCGGTCTCAGGCTCGATCTCAGTCTCGGGCTCGGGCTCAGACTCGGGCTCGATCTCGGTCTCGGTCTCAGTCTCGGTCTCGGTTTCGGTCTTGGGCTCAGACTCCGGATCATGTTCAGACTCGGGCTCGGGCTCGGTCTCGGTCTCGGTCTCGGGCTCAGACTCCAGATCAGGTTCAGACTCGGACTCAGGCTTGATATCAGGCTCGATATCAGGCTTGACTTCAACCTTGGACCCCCGCTCCGTCTCGGGCTCGGGCTCGTCCTCGAGCTGCGGGGCGGGCGCAGGCTCGACTTCAAGCTCGGACGCCAGCTCGAGTGTAGGCTCATCTTCAGGCTCATCCTCGGGCTCATCCTTGACCTCGGACTCGGCATACGCGTACTCGTACGCGGATTCATCAGAACGATACTCCAACTGTACGACCTGGCCCGAGATAACTCGTCCGCCGCCCCAAAACGCACTCGTTGCCTCGGTCTGATACGCCAGCGTTGCTGCGGCGCCTTGCGAGGCGCTCATTGTAATATCCTCGTTGTGAGCAGGACTTGCGGCAACTGCTCCAAAACCGTCGTCAGTCTCTCGTCCCACACTGCACGCGCTGTCGGTTGAGACGCAACTTGTCGGTGACGCAGGAACGTCGGCGTCCTCACCAGACACTTCAAGCACGGTCGAGAGGTGCATAAACTGCAGCACCGGCTCCGGCTCCAGCTCCGCCGGTGGCGCTGGCACATCAGTGTCTGATCCCGAGCCGCCCGAGTCGGAGCGGAGTGTGTCCGGCGGTGAGTCGGGCAGGTATTCGGGCTTGGGCTCCACCACACGCGGTGACTCATGCAGGACGGCCGTCACTGCCGTGACCGAACCTTCGTCGGTCTCGCTTCCAATAGTTCGCGGCGAGTCGTGCAAGACAGCAGTGACTACAGTCTCGGAGCCATCATCTGCGTCGCCCAGCACTCGCGGCGTCTCGCCGTCAGCCCACTCGGCTCTGACGTCGTCGCAGCTGGGCTCCGGCGATGCCGACATGCTCTCTGTCGACGCTGCTGGCACCACATTAATGATGATGCCCGAGTCGACCTTCACGGTCAGTCGACAGCTGTCGTCGCTGTTGTCGTATTCGCCGTAATCGTCGCCGTCCGACTCACCCGACTCGGCCACCGACATGGACTCGGACGCGTAGCCGCCGACTCTTGCCGCAAACTGCTCGAGTACGGCCTGATTTGAGCGAGGATCAACGCCACCGCTGTCATCATGCTCGTATCCATCCTCGGAATCGCTGCGGCTGCTCCACAACATCGCAGGCTCTCCGCCTTGGCCGTCGTCATCGTTGTAGTTGACATCCTCGTCATCCAGCGAGTGCATAACCGACGACGAGAGCTCTGAGTGATAGCCGTCAACTCGACCAGCAGCAATCAGAGCCACAGATCGACGCGAGTCGAGATGCATGGGCAGCGGTGAGGCACACTCGTCGCCATCACCACCCCGACGTTGTAGAACCTTGCCTACACCATGATTAGGGTCACAACCAGGATCATCCATATGACGACCATGGTGACGGCCGCTGGCGACTGCGTCATCACTCTCTACATCGTTGTCGTCATCATTGCTGTCGTCGCTATCGTTGCCATCGCGATGGCGGCGATTGCAGCGGACGTGATCGCGATCATCGTGATCATCGTGATCATCATCATCTTTGCTGGAATTGGGCTTGTGGCTGAGGCTCGAAGCAACCTCGGCACCAGCAGGGTCAGAATACGGCATCTGATTGTTGCGAAGGAAGCGGAGTGGAGCAGAGGCGTGGGCAGGCGGTGAGACGCTCAGCTCTTCCTCGCCGCCTGTGTCGTAATCGTAGGCATACTCGGCAAGCGAGCCAGAGCCTACACCATTGCTGAGCGAGTACGAAGACAGCTCAGACTCCATATCCTCCACTTCTCGCGCGTGTCAGTCGTCGCTCTCTCCCTCTGTCCCTCTCTCCTCCTCTCGCTCTGTCGCTCTCCCGCCGAGTTGCGTGTCGCTCTCTCCGCAAACTCGCCCGCCAAGCCAGCCCGCCCGCCGGCCCCTGCCCGCCGGCCACTCCGCCCGCGCGACCGCTCTCACTCGCCCGATCACCGCATATTCGCGACTGCAAGGCCACCAGCAGTCATCGATCGCAATTATGAGTCTTATTGCTGTCGGGTTTCGATGGGGGGGGAGGGAGGGAGGGGGGAGGGGGCCGACTCTAAACAGATCGGCTCGCCAGCTTTGAGAGCTCCAACAGGTGGATGCTGCAGTCGGCAGATATGGTGGCGATGACGCAATGGTCTTCGTCCAAGTTATCGGAGCGATAGATGGCAAGCCCTTCGACAGAGCCAGCGTGGATGCGGGCAGTCCACGATGGGTTTCCGATGTCGCCGTCCCAGGGAGTGGAGAAGCAGCCGATATCGGCGGTGAGAACGTAGCCGTTCTGGCTGACGGCGACAACAGTGCGATCGCCGACAAGCGCGGCGTATGTGAGAGTATGCCACTGCGGAATGGCAATGCTCGAAGTGATCCGCGCCGTGTTGACCACTGACACCTGCTCGCTGGTCTCGGACAAGGCAATGCTGAATGCGTTGATGACGCAGTCGTCGCTGACCGAGATGAGCGTCGAGGCCTGAGGCGAGCCGCGCCAATCAATGGCCGTTACCGCCCTTGTGTGCGCCCGAACAATGGCGTGGTCGCAGGTTATGCCCTTGCCATCGCGCGCCACCGAATGAATGCGGATGGTCTGATCCTCGGATCCAGTCGCCAGCCAGCGGATCTCGCCGGTCGCTGGCCCGATCGCCACCGTCCACACCTCGCAGAAGAGCTCAATAGAGCCAAACAGCGGAGTGGCCTTGCCAGTAGGATGAGCAATGGTTTGCGAAATCACAAGCTCGCTCTCCATGTCCAAGATCGCCAGCTCTCCGCTAGTCGTGCCTGCTGCGAGCAGCGACGGTGCGAGCCAACCAAAGCACGTCACGCCGCCGGCAGCCTTGGCCACCACCCGCGGTTTGCCTACATCAGCAACATCCCAGCGCAAGATAGCTCCCTCCAGAGTGCCAACTACCAGTGCGCAGCTGTCTGGCGTCCAGATCAGAGCGCGGACAGGCGCTTCGATGCTGGACACGGTCAAGCTAGAAAGAGCCGCCTCGTCGCAATCAAAGACGTGAACGCCGCCAACCAGATCACCGCCGGCAACACATGATCCATCAGGGGCAATTGCCACGCCGCAGCCAACCATGCAGAGGCCAGCTGCGGAGGCTAGCTGTTTCCCATGAGCGTCGACAACCACCAACCCGTGCTCGCTCAACAGCGCCAGACGGTCTTCCGGAAGCGCGCTGAGGGCAAAGACAACTGACGGCCGCATGTCCAGTGCAACCATCCGGACCAGCTGGCCATCGTGCCGATGACCTGCCACTCGCGCGTCATCGCATGGGATGTAGACTACCTCATCGCGTGGCCCAAGAGCCATCGATCGTGGCGCGCCCGAGCCTGCTGCCCTCCATCCCGTCGCGCTGCCAGCATCGGTGAGAACAAATACCACGCGGGCTCCGGTGACGGCAGCAACCGCCGATGAGCCCGGGATCCGGCAAGATGCCGTAAATCGAGCATTACTTGCCCCGTCAGGCGTCAAGGGCAGTAGATTCATGACAGCGAGCGAGCCAGCGTCGGTGTCGACGACGGCCACCTCTGGTGCGTCTGAGAGTGCGTTGCGGCCAAAGACCACAAGGCCGGCGCTGTTGAGCCAGGTGCAGCCGTCTGCAGCAACCATCGGAATAAATCTGGTCTGATGAAGAGTCTCTTCTCCGACGGCGATGATGTGCAGCCCGTGCGACTCGGCCACGACAGCCAGTAGTGCGCCATCAGGCGACCATGCGGCCTCTAGCGTCCGTCCGAGCGGATCGAGGACGAGTGGCTCACCCAGAGCCGACCAGCCACCCGTGTCATCCCAGAGCGCCAGCTCGCCATCATCCGAGACTGTGATGAAGCGATGATCATGGGTCGGATCACGGACTAGGGCCACAATCAGCGCGTTGTGAGCGGCAAACGATGCGCGGAAGCTCAGTTCGGCGCCAACGTGTGTCGCAATCACTGTGTCGCGAACGCGACCACCCGCGGGAGCCACCATCCGCAAGCTCTTTCCTCCGGCAATGGACTCAAAGACAACTGCGTTGTGGCGGGCAGCAGGTATGCCATAGCTATGGGTATGGCGAGGCGTCTGTGCTGTGTAAGCTGCCATCGCGAGAGAGATGTGCGTGTAGGCGATCGGCGGGTGGCTTTGCGCCGTCTCAAGCAGCACAGATGAACTCACTGCACCAAGCAGCCTCAACCCATGTGACGCAACCCATGAGATGATTGCACTTTCCTATACAATTGCCTCGATTTCCAGCCTCTAGATCGTCCGCATCTGCCCTGCCACACCTCCATCACTCTGCCCATCTCCCGGCGAGAGAAGTCGAGCGACCGACAGCGTGGAAAGCGAGCCAAATGCTGGCACCGCCCGCCCCGCCCAGCTACAGCCCCCCCCCTCCTCCTCCCCTCGACCACCAGGCCCACCCACACCCCCACACCCCCCCCCACACACACCACTCCAGCAAACCTGCAGCAGCAAGAGTTCGGACAGCGGGACTGGGACGAAGCACTTCGACCTTTGATTACCTTGACTCTCAGCACAAGACACTTGAGCTAAGCAAGTGACCTCAGCATGTCTGGAGGACGTCGGTACCACGGGGAGCGAGGCCAAGGTGGCGGCAGCGGGGGCAACAGCCACCACGGCAACGACAATCACCACCATTCACGTAGCCGACATGGTGGACGTCGTGGTCGTGGTGGTGGTGGTGGTGGTGGACGTCATGGTGGTGGACGTCATGGTGGACGTGGTCGAAGGGATGGTGGTGGTCATAAGGCCTCGGGTCTTATGGTCTTCTCCTCCTTGGACAATGGTGAGCCTGTTGTCCTGCTCTGCCAGCGGAAGGATACGCCCGTACGTCATGTCATGTCCGAGTGTGGAGAGACCCCCCCTGGGTGGGGGGGGGGGGGGAGGAGGGGGGGAGGAGGGGGGG